CTCATCCTGGGCAGGATAAAGGTGGTGCACCTCCCCCCACCAATATCCCCGAGCAAGTGGGGGTTGGGGGGGAATTCTGGGAGTTGAAGTCCACACATCTTCAAGTTCCCAAGGTTGAGAAACACTGGGATAGAGCCTTGGAAAGTGAAGGGATTCTTGTTGCATCACAACCTTTCTGCTTCCCCCACCCCACCCTGCAGCAGTGTTCTGCATCCTGTTTCCATTGCCGGTCTATAGGCATTGTTCAGAATCCATTGCCTTCTCTCTTCCACTTCAGCCACAGATGCCGGTTATAATACGGTTTGATGCTTTGGGGGGAAATAGCTGGGTACAACATTAAGGACAGAATATAGTGTATTGCTTCATTCACTGCTCTCAGTGGGAGTTTTAATGCGGGAGGAATGACAGCTTCGTGGTCTGGCAGCTTCACCCTATTACAAATATTCAGATTTTTTGCAAATAACTAGGTAAACACATACAACCTGTCATGAAAACAGGGAAACAGGCAGGTAGGGGTTAGCAATTTATTTTATTTCTTCTTCACATGGAGGGGGGTAGACAAGAATGTTCTTCTAGGACCTGCAGGAGCTTCTTTAATTATTTATTTATATATCAAATTAGAATTTACCTTTTTTGGTCATTTGGAAAGAGAGCAGAGACTGGCCCATGGTATTCCCTGTCTGTTCTCTCTCCTCCAAGAAATGCAGGACCGAGTTGGTTCTCAAACAGTTTTGAGAAGAAACAGTAGCAGGTCGCATTGTAGTTGGGGATATTAGTGAAAAATTAACCTTTTATGATTAATATTATCCCACACCCTCTATTTCCTCCTTTCCAGGATCATTGTGGGAGCTCCTGGGGAGCAGAACTCCACAGGCAAAGTTTACCAATGTCATTTGAAGACCAAAGACTGCAAGGACATTCCGCTCGAGGGTAAAGTGAAGGATTTTAAATTCTTCGTGGCCGTGAGTGAAAGGCCCATTGGAGGCTACAATGGTGGAGCAAGGGCCATGATGTTGCAGCCAGACACCGTTTCTAAGAGCTGCAATCATGATCGTAGTGCGCATAGTAAACTCTCTATGTGTGTGTGAGGAAAGTGAGAGAAGAGAAAGAGAAACATGTCTGGCACGGCCCGTAGGCTGGGTGATGTGTTCTGAAACTGACTTAAAAGATTAGTATCTATGGATAAGGAGGATATTTAGGTTATATCTCCTTCAGCATTAACCAATAGATCTCTTTTTCTCTCTCTCGTTTTTGCAGAGAACTCCCCGGTGCCTCACCTTGGCATGACCCTGGCAAGCAATATGCAGGGGAATAAGATGATTGTGAGTTGGCTCTGGAAGGGAGGGTGAATTTGGGCTCACGGTTGAGCAGGCAGGGATTTCAACTGCTCTTTGAGAGAGGCAGAGGTAGATCTTTAAGACTGCTTCTCATCGCTGAACCAGTGTTTGAAGAAAAGCTGTATTTAAGTGAGCTACAGAAGCTTCAGAATGGAAGGATTCTTTATTATATGGTTACAATTCTTATGCTTATGGTGTCCATTTGTACAAGTGTCCCTCTGCCTCTTTCCTCTAGATCAGTGTTTCTCAACCTTGGGAACTTTAAGATATGTGGACTTCAAATCCCCCAAATATATCACCCCACCCCCCCTGCGGCGGGGGATGTTCTGGGGTGGAGGGGCACAAACCTACTTTCACAACTGTTGTGAGTAGT